AAACTCCAAGACGCACTGGATGTGGATATAGACATTGTCCGCACATACATCATGTAACGGGGAATCGGGCCCACGGCCTCGGGGGCGGCACACTTGTTCAAAACAGCACCCCCTCGGTCCCCGTTTAGTCCCGCGCGGGGCGACCCGTTTCGGGGCGCTTCGGGGCCGGGCCCGCTACTGGGGGGCTGCACGCAGAGATCGGCCCCCAGAGCGATCAGACAGCCGTCCAAGCGGCCCAAGACGGCCCCGAGCCACCCCGAAGACGGCTTCCAGGGCCCCCCGACGGCCCAAGAAGCTTTCCAAACGGACCAAGAGGTCCCCCGAGTGCCCCAAGAGGCCCAATGTATAGATTGCCTTTCGGTTTTTGAAGGAGTTGGGTGTTCTTGCTGCTTCGGGCTTCCAGGGCTCCTAGATGGCTGAAGAGGCGCCCAAGACCGCCCCGAAACAGGCCAAGAGGGGACCAAGAAAGCCCCAAGACGGCGTCGGAGACCTCGGGAGCCCCAAGATGGCTCGAGAGGGTTCCAGGACGGCACAAGAGGCCCCCCGAGACAGCCAAAGAGGGCCCCAACCAAGAGGGGAAGCACTGACCCACAGTTTCAGCCTTCCGCCCCCCGAGGCTCCGACGAGGCGCCTCGAGGCTCTCAAGAGGCCACCAAGAGACCCCAAGAGGCCCCGAAGAAGCCCGAAAGAGGCCCCAAGAAGCCCCCAAACAACCCGCAAGAGGCTTCACAGACGCCCTCGACGATGTTCCCGAGAGGCTGCCCACGAGATACCAACGAACATCCAAGGGGCCCCTGACGCACAGCCCGGGCACCGTGGCGGGATGGTCCGACGGCCAGCACACACATACATATACATACACATATGTAAATATGAATACATATGTATATATACATATATATCTATATACATACATATATATATATATAAATAAATAAATAAATACATAAATAAAGAAATAAATAAATAAATTAATAAATAGATACCTATAGATATACACCGACCACCCTTCGGGTGATAAGCAGGTTGTGGGGGGGGAGAGAGGGGGGAACCAACATCTGACTCAATCGATCTCACTATCGATCTCACTCAACGGGACACCATGGGACACTTGTCGATCTCACTATCGATCTCACTATCGATCTCACTCACCGGGACACCGCGGGACACCTCTCGATCTCATTATCGGTCTCACTATCGATCTCACTATCGATCTCACTGAACGGGACACCATAGGACACCACGGGACACCTCGGGACACCACATCTACCTCACTATCGATCTCACTATCAATCTTACTCAACGGGACACCACGGGACACCACGGCACACCTGTCGATCTTACTATCGATCTCATTATCGATTCCACTTTTTGGGACACCACGGGACACCTCGGGGCACCACATCGATCTCACTATCGATCTCACTCAACGGGACACGACACCGCGGGACACCACAGGAAACCTGTCGATCTCGCTATCGATCTTACCATCGATCTCACTTGTTGGGACACCACGGGACACCTCGGGGCACCACATCGATCTCACTATCGATCTCACTATCAATCTCACTCAACGGGACACCACGGGACACCGCGGGACACCGCGAGCCACCGCCAGACGGACGGACGGACAGGCGGGCGGGCTGGGGAGAATCATTTGTCGTGATTTCGCCCTAGCAACGGCGGACACCACGGGACACCACAAACCATCGCCGGACGGGCGGGCGGGGGAGACTCATTTGTCTTGACTTCCCCCTAGCAACGGCGGACACCACGGGACACCACGGGTCGGACACCGCGAGCCACCGCCGGACGGGCGGGCGGAGGAGAATCATTTGTCTTGACTTCGCCCTAGCAGCGACGGGTTCATTTCTCTCGCGCGCCCACGCAGCTTCGCCTCGCCCGCACGCACGACACGAACGAAACGAAACGATTTCCCGGTTGGGGGTCTCCGTCCACTACGATCTCACCCCCCAACCTCCGACGTTCTATACCTATACGACCGCCTTGCGGGCGATAAGGAGTTTGGGGGGGATTGAGATCAAATGCCCACCCTGACTGACCTCCAGCCTGTCACCTTGGCGCCGGGACGCCCGGGACACCCGGGACACCGCCCAGCCCAATTGGGACACCTCCCGGCCACCGGCGGACGGGAAACGGACGTTCGCTCCTACTGACACCCGGGACACCCGGGACACCGCCCGGCCCAACTGGGACACCTCCCGGCCACCAGCGGACGGGAAACGGACGTTCGCTCCTACTTCGGCCTAGCTACAGGAGGATCACGCGCAGCTTCGCCTCGCCCGCACGCGCGACACGAACACGAAACCGAAACCGATTTCCCGACGGGGGGTCTCCGTTACACTACGATCTCACCCCCCAACCTCCG